CTTAAATTTTTATTTCAAGTGGCATTAAAAAGTCTGGAATTTAACTTGCTGTATGCTGTAGGAACCCTGTCAAAGATGAAATTGTGGATTTTGACCAAACAGATGTTAGCAGCAGCCAAGCATACATCATCCTTTGCGACAACGTGATTGGCGAGCCCGTTTTGGTCGATTTTTGAGCGGTTGAGGTTGGGAATGGGAAATGGATTTATTCTCATGTGAATTTGAGCAAAGAAAATCAGCTTTCAGGCTGTTATTAAATTTCCCCATATCTAAAAGGTTTATAACGCCCGGTTTTAAATATTAGTTCTAAATATTAACCACCTTTTTTCACAGGAATGCCTTTTAACCAACTGGGAACACTGGCTGGGAGCAAGTTCTACAATGTTGAAGCAACCTACTACTACTTACGATGGTGAGGGTTGATTTCCAGTTTAAGCCAGATAATCGAAAAACAAGAGGCTTAACGGATCTTTATTCTGACCGCAGCATCCAATCAGATACTCCGTTTGAGGGCGCCTATGGCAACCTGAAGCGCCTGTTCGACAAGGCAGCCAAGATGTACCACCAGGTGAAGAAGCAGGAGATGAAGAAGCTGTCCCCGTCCCGCCAAAGGTGATGAGCGCTGTGATGGTTATTTTTTTCACCCCAAACTTCTTGGTTTTTTTAAGCAAATGGGGGAAATTTTACAGATTTTAATTGGCTTTCTCAGGTCCTGAATTTATTTTACCTGAAAAAGGAAAATCTGTTCCATCTTCACTCAGTCATCAATTCTCCACCTCAGTCGGCTTTTGCAAGTCCGGACAAAATAAAATGATTTAAACACCTAAAAAACATGAATTAAGATGAGATAATTGTCCAGAAAAGTATGAAAACAAACCACTGCACTTCTGAATTGAAGGTTTTTCAATTCAGAAGAAAGCGGGATTTTTAGTCTCCTGCCAGACGGCAGCAGCTGAAAGGAGGATTGGACTCTTGAACATCTCTTACTTTTTTTTTCTCAAAGCCTTTTTATGTGAATTAAGAAGAAAAGTTTGCTGAAGACCAATTATTTTACTGGCCTGTTTAACTACCAGATTCTATTTCTTCTTCTCTTTGACTAAAAGATTTCCATATCAGGAGTCTATGTTGAAAAGAGAGATCACTTTAAACAAGCGCTGTATACGCCAACTGTAAGGAGATAATGCCAACATTAAAACTATTAAGTTTCTGAAAAGAGATGCTGTCTCAACTTTATATAGACACAACCAGCGTTCAAGNAAAAATAAAAATAGGTTTCAAGAGTAATTTTGCTGATATCTTAATTTTTCCCTTTTATCTGTTTTCCTTTTTCAAATTTTTTGCTTTTTTTTTTTTTTCAAATTTCAGATGAAGTTTTACTAATAACATTCTTTTCAAATCGCATTTCATAGATCCTAAGTTCTTCACTTCAAGCCCAACAGAAACGCTCCTTCTGGTCGCACACATTGGCCAATTTAAATGTTTTTGCTCATGTCCGTTCACAATAATCTTCGCTCCTCCCCCTGAATTGAAAAGAACCTGATCTGTAAAACACATTTTGAGAGTAATGAAATTTGTCAAACTATATCTGAAAAAAATATATATAATTAATAAAAATGGTGGGGGGAAAAAATCTGGAAAAACAGCAAAACTTTTTTTTTTTTTTTCATTAAAACAGTTTTTCTTTTGTGTGGTTTGAATTTTTTCGAATGTCAGCTTAAAAAAAAAGTGTTCTTTAAATGCAAAAGTAATGAAAAAAATTCACTCCATACCAGGAAATGGAGAAAGAACAATCGTAATCTGGAGTTAAAAATCAATCTAAAATGACAGAACTGTGACATTGAGATTGTATTGACACTTTGAATTTGTCCCAACTATGTCTGTCTTATGTTCAAAATGTTCAATAAACAAAGTAAAAAAGAAAAAAAATCAATCTAAAAAACTGCAAAAGACCATTTAGACTCATGTCAAAATAATCTGTATTGGCATTGACTTTAAAATAACTGTATCGGTCAATCAGAATCAGAAATGCTTTATTTATCCTTTGCAGGAAATAATTTTCTTGCAGTGCAGCCACAGAAGGCGGAAAAATAAGATTGTAAGAAATATAGAGGACAATAAAATAATATAATATAAGAAGGCAGAATAGAAAAAGTAAAAATACAAATTAAAAAAAAAAAAAAATTACAAACCTACACAGTAAAATTACACCCTTCCCAAATAAACGGTGTGAAATAAGACATAAGAATACAATAAGATAAGGTCTATCTGAACTGATAACCAATGGTTAAATATTATTGAAATGATGAATATACGCCCTGGTATCCTTTTGGACCGGAGATCTAATTGTTTCTAATCTGCTCGTTTCCAACAGGTCGAAAGAAGCCAGTCTCCGCCTCACCCAGAGAGATGGAGTGGGCTCAGATGGCCTGTCATCGCTGTCTGGTCTACCTCGGAGATCTGGGTAATAACACGTTAACACTGTATTTAATCAGCTCCTGACTCTCCCATCCCTGTAAAGGAGTGAGGCAGAGGGTTTTATCCAGCGTGGGAAAAAATTTGCTTCATAATACAGAAGTAACTGAGAACAGGCTGTGTGTGGTGTGAGGTTTTCTTCCAATTAATATGTGAAAATAGTTTTATGCTTGAGGTGTATTTTTATATGGAAACTAAAAAAAGACTGGAACTAAAGTTTTAATATCTCATTTTCACGATTTATGCTGTTTTATCTTATATGTTTGTATTATTTTGATTCTGTCTTCAGCTCGCTATCAGAATGAACTTGCTGGAGTAGAAGCTGAACAGCTGGCAGAGAGATTTTACCACCAAGCCTTGTCTGTAGTCCCCCATGTTGGTGAGTCTCTTCATGGCTTTACGAAAACCTCCTACTTTGATTTGACAAGAAAACAGCAGGTTTAATAGTATAAATGTTGTGTGGAGGAGGCCTGAGCCACATCGCTTTGACCTGCTGCCTCAAACATTCGGTGTAGCTGTTCCCTCCTTCCTGGGGACCATCAATAAATATCTGAATTAAACATTTTTGTCAAATAGAAATTAAGTTTCACTTCTTTTCACATTTTAGACTAGAAATTTAAATGTATTTGTTTAGCACATAAAAACACATGTTGAAAAAAGTGCTGTACTGTTCAAAGGAATAGAACACCGATAGGAACAATAAAAATCAATAGAAAACTAAAACAAATACCGTATTTTCCGGACTATAATCCATGCCTTTTTTTAAAGTGTTTTTTTTTTTTTTTTTAAAGCGGCCTAAAAACCTGATTTCTACATTTGTTAATATAACTTTATATGTATTACATTTTAACTGAACAAGAGCTCTTAAAAGGCATTCAATTCTTCAAAATAAAATTAAGGCCTTAATTGGTATTAAAATGTCTTAAATCAGTCTTTCTTAGGTCTTAAATTTTAAAACATCATAAATAG